GTCCCCCGAGCGCCCTGCGGGGCCCGGCGAGCCGCCAGCCGAGGTGGTCCCGCGGCACAGGGGCGCGGAGGAGCTGCCGCAGCCGCCGCCGCTGCCCCTGCCGCCGGCGGGGCAGGAGGTGTCGGCGGCTGGCGACTTCGCGGAAGGTCCGAGGCGCCTTCCGGAGGCGGCTGTCCCTGAGGCGGCAGCTGGGAAGGGCGACCCGGGGGAGGCTGAGGCCGGCGCGGGCGGGGAGGGCGAGCGGAGGGGCGCCGGCGACCAGCCCGAGACGCGCTCGGTATGTAGCAGCCGCAGCAGCAGCAGCGGCGGTGGAGATCAGCGCGCCGGGCACCAGCACCAGCACCACCAGCCCATCTGCAAGATCTGCTTCCAGGGCGCCGAGCAGGTAAGGCCCGGCGGGACCCCGTGGCAGCTGGCGGTGGGCTCCGGTCGGGGCTGGGCTGGCTCCCTCGCGCGCTGCCGACCTTTCAGCACCACGGACAGCGCCCACATCTCAGTTCTCCGCTGAGTCCTTGAGTGGAGGCTGCTGTGTGTTTCTTTTTTCTTTTCTGTGAAGGCGAATAAAAATGTCCCGGTGGCGAATACAGTGTTTAATTTGGTGTACGCTTCTTTTTCTACCTAGTTTTGCAGTTACACATTCCTCAGGTGCTTTAATGATAATGCTATAAGTATATATTTTTTGTAAATTGCTAAATGGATTTTGGCTTATACATAGAAACAAACCTATAGTTCTTTATTTACAAGTGTATCGTGAAGCAGATAACCTTAGGGTACAAACTGGAGGTGAGTCATGTCAAAACTAAAAAGTGCAGTCTTTCCTTTTTGTAAATTTTGGTGACAGTCTCATTAATGTGAGAAGAATGTTACCTTTTCACAAGAGAAATAAACATATACTTTGACCTTGTGAAAGAAAGCCTATTTTTTGCCAACAATGTACTTTATATGTTATTAGAAACACAATTCTAAAATTATAAGCTCCATTAGAGGTGCATGCGAACTTAGAGTAATCATGGAAATAACAGGATAATACATCTCTCACAAAATGTGTGGTCTGAGAAAACATTAGGTTTAATATACTTATAAGTAAGGAAATTGCATAAGAATATGCAGGCTTTCAGGAATATAGTGCCCTAAGTCAATATTTATGATGCTACATTTAGAAAAAATAAAAGCATAATGCTATTGCAAGCTGCTTTCTGGGATGGCATGCATTTCTTCTTTAGCAATGATCAAGAATAACTGCAGAGGAAATGCATCTGACCATCCACTTAAAAGTTATTAAAGAGATTTAATAGTACAGCTTTTCCCCAAGGGTATTGGGAGCTATATCTTGCAGACATTTTGTATGTTGGTAGAACATTTATGTCATAACTCTAAGTAATATCTTTGAAATAGTTTTAAGACTTTAGTTTCATTCCCATCAGAGGTATAAAAATTTAATTTCATTTTCTAAGATAGAGTCTGATGCTTGTATCCTTCTGAGTAAATGGCTTTGAAAGAAAAGAAAGCAAGGGTTGGATTTTTAAAACAGAGACATAAGCTAAATATTGATACTGAGTTGTTTCCTTTTCAGGGGGAGCTGTTAAACCCCTGCCGATGCGATGGGTCAGTTCGGTATACACATCAGCTGTGCTTGCTAAAGTGGATTAGTGAGAGAGGTTCTTGGACCTGTGAACTCTGCTGTTACAGATACCATGTCATAGCCATTAAAATGAAACAACCTTGCCAGGTAAACATTTGTGACATTTTTCCCCCGAAATAATTTTGCTAAACATGAGTGCACTTGAGCTCAGTTATTACTAAGAGTATTTACATATGCTACTTAAGACATTTTATGCAAATTACAGTAAAACCAAGATTTAGAATTTGTAGAGATGTGCTTTGAGAAATCTGTGACACTTTTATCTGAGAAACTCAAAAGCCGTTTTATTCAAATGGTTTCCTTTATCAATTTGTTTTTTATTGGTGAAACTATCCTCATCTTTGTTTCTAAAAGGTCAAGTTAGTAAAATGTCTTATACCCCAATTAAGTCAATTTTTTAAATTAGAAATGTTACACAATTAATTCTAGTCATATTTTGTTAATTTAAGCATTAGAGCCCTAAATGGCTCCATTTATGGAAAATGGATTCAACTAAAGCAAAATTTTACTAGTCTGGAAACTGAGATTGAACCTACTTGTTCTGAACATTCTTTTCACTTAACTAGGCTTTCTTTTTCATGTGAGGTTTTTTCACACTTAAATTTTAGCTACTTTCATTCATTGCTCTGTTCAACTACATAGTGGATGCAGAAGTATTCCCAACAGTTACTCTCAATAATACTACTGAAATTGTACATATTCTTAAAACTTTTTGTATATAATCACATAATAACACAATGCCCATAAGCCTACTAAAACCCTTGGGAAATTAGCTTTTGTGTTTGTTTGCTTGTTTGTTTGTATGGTCGAACTGATTCAGGTCCTTGGAATAGACTGGTGGAATGTAAGATAAAAAATACTAAGAATGACACCTTAAGCTAAATCAGTATAATGTATAATTGATGAGATCTAATAATGACATGGGGCTGAAGTATAGCAGACATAAAAAAGTAGGTTCAAAACAGAGACAAAAGAGATAATGGGACGAAAAAGAAGAGAAACTTGAAAAGTTAGGAGGGGAAGAAAGTAATAAAGTCTAATGTTCCCTGTTTCTATTTAAATTACCAAATTTAGTTTGCATTGAGCAATATAAAATAGGTGAAATTGTTAGTAATTGCAGAAGGAACCTAGAAGCTGAAATAATAATTTAAATTTCATAGTTTTTAATGTGTGCATCCTTCATACAGTTTGCAATTAATTTGCATCTCTGATAGTCAACATTTGAGGCATGATTAGTGGGCATGAAATGAAAGTATGAAATTTCTCAAGCTGACCTAAGGCTTATGAATAATTTGGAAAGAAGGCAAATAACTAATGTGGATGAGTGATGTTATCATGCCGAAGACAGGCAAGAACCTGACACATGTTCTCAGAACCTCTAATTGATTGAACTACTTGCATATCAATTTATAGATCCATCATATTTGTCTTGAAAACCAGATGGAATCATGTTCAGATAGTAGGACATGAGGAGTATAATTGAAGCTACAATAATTTTATAAATAGAGATGTGAGATGGGAAATGGAGAACTTTGAGTTTCCAGTGAAAAACCCCATTGGAAGTGCTGTGACCAGTCTATTTCAGTTCAAGAGCTGAAATAGATTGCTAAATATTTCAGAACCTCTAACTTATGGCCACTAAATATTAATTCATTTGGGATGATTCATTTTGAAGTAAGTAAAAATAGGTCCTTGAGTAATTTTAAAACAAAGAAGAGACAAATGTTTGGGGCAAAAAGTACTATTTACTAATTCTAATCTTACAGCAACATGAATTGATTACTACTGTATTTTGTTTCATCTTAAAAAGACAATCAATAATTATTTTAAGAAAAGCAGTTCCCCACAATGTGTATAAGATATGACCAAAAATTCAAAAGAAAAAAACTACTAAAGTTTAAAAACTAACCTGGTATTGCTGACACATTTAGGATTCATTTTGTTATGACATTCGCAAACATTGTTGTAATCTGTGGCCTAATCTGTTTGCTCCAGTGAACTACAAAATAATATTCAGAAGCAACACTGATATGAGTATGATGATGATATTTCAGATCATGCCTGAGAAAATAACTTTCCAGGACCACATTATATGCATATAAATCTCAGTATTCTTAATGTACAGAAATCAGTTATAAGGTTCCCAAAGCGCAGATTGTTATGCATATGAATAGTTTATTTTCAGATAAACTTTGACTAATTGTCTGGCACTTCCATTATTGATGACCCAATAACTGGGCACTTACTCTGATTTTTGGTTTTCTCCTTTGCTGGTGTGAGGCCAATCAGATTTAGCATTGATCACATTCATGCTTTAATGGCACGGCAGAGATACATTTTCTCAAACAGGAATGGTGTTATGGTCCTTCCCTTCACTTTCCATATCCCTTTGTTCTAAGTATAGAGCCTTCCCATAGCTGTGGTTCCTTGGACACAGAGCAGAATAAAGACTGAATGATAATATTGAGAGAAAACATTTACCCAAAGTTACTTTGTGCCAGGCACTGTTCTGAGTGCTTTATACATAATGCTACTGATATTTAATCTTCAAAACAAACCTATGAGGTAGAGAATATTATTATCTCTATTTTATACAAAGTGAAAATGAGGCACAGAATAGTTAAGTAACTTCTACTGCGTACATCTCTATCTAGTAGAAGGCAAAGCCAGGATGCATAGTCTGGCTCCAGGGTCCACGATCTTAGCCACTCTGGCCCAGTTGGAAAGTGTTCTCAGCTCCATCATAGCCTCCTGAAGTTTCTGGGTCTATCACAATTTATCCTGTGTTATGCTGAGTCAAGCAGGGTTTCAGCCCTTGTATTGTTGTATAACAAGCTCCTTAAAATACTTAATGGTTTAAAACAACAACTATCGTTTATTATCTCTTAAGAGTCTACCTGTTGATTGAGATCAGTTGGGAGGTTCTTCTCTACATGTGGTGTCATTCTGGAGCTGTACTCATCCATCAGTTTGACTGGACTGAAACAGCCAAAAATGGCTCACTCATTCTACTTGTTGTTTGTGCTGGCTGTTGGCTGGAAGCTCGTTGGGGCTGCCAGCTGGTACCTCACTTCTCTTTCTATGTGACTTGGATGTCTCACAATATGATGGTTGGTTTCCAAGAGTGTGAAAGTGGAAGCTGTAGATCTCTTAAGGCCCAGCTTTGGCTCAGCAGACATGGTTTTATGTCTGCTGAATTCCGTTGATTCACGTTAGTCACAGGACCAACCAGATTCAAGAGAGGGAAAAATAGACTCCACCTCTAGAGTCTGCCCTTCTTTAAAGAGGATGGACATCTTTAATCTACCATGGGAGAGAGCCTCTAAAATGGCACTATCAACTTACCCTGGGCTCTGTATTTGGTCCTCATCAGGTCCAGATCAGTCAACAGCACCACAATTACTTCTCTCCCAGGGCTCAGAAATAAAGAAGGTTAAAAAAAATATATGGGAGTTTACTCTATCAGTGGTGCTTGATACATATCCTCAAGAACTTTCAGAAGTGATTATTAACATGATGCACCTCTTGGTGTTCAGAGGGACAAGGGGACAGAGAAGGAACGGAGCAGCTAATCAGGAAGCAGGTGTGCATGAGGGAAATATGTTGCAATGAGTCTAATACCTTAGCTTTCCTTGTTTTTCTCATTGAGATTAGATTTTTTTGAGAATATGTGTCTAAACCTTCCCATTTTGTGAGATTTTTAGCGATGCTCAGCAACATGATCCAGTAGAAAACTGATGATGTAGCCTATATATTTAAACCTTAATTACTGTATCATCAGCAGTAGGAGTTAATTAAGACATTAGAAGTAATTAACATGCATTTACCTTTCTACCTACTTGCAGAATCTCTTTTATTGATTAACATATTCAAGATGATGCATTAATGTTATCTTAAGAGTAAAAGCTAATTTTGTTTTGAATCTCATAGTATGGTATAAAATTAGTGGAATCTAAGAACACATAAGACCAAATTTATTTTGAGATGTTGGTGATATTCTAAACTAATTAAGCTAGTATATTCAAGTTTATGAATGCTTTCAGTACTTTTTCAAGAGATAGAAGTGTTTGAAGAGATAACATTTACTAGATAAAGTATTGTATGGGAAACTTTAAACTTGTTATAAGAGATGGACTATAAAATCTAAACAGAAAAACAGAATGTTAATGGAAGACAATAGCTATGCTACCTTGGAAGAGTGGCTCAACTATTTCTGCCTCAGGCAACTCATCTATAAAAAATAACAGTGGCACCTATTTTACACACACTTTGAGGATTAAATACATATATACATATGAAGTGCTTAGAGTAGTGCTAGCACGTAGTAGGTGCCATTTTAATGTTGGCTCTGATTATTTTTACCTGTTTTGTCATTTAACAGATGGGGACCTTCATTTGCTTACAGCAACAGTGCTTACAGGTCCCCGTTGTTTCCTTCAGTCTGTTGCCACCAAAATGAAATTAATGACTCTTCTTTCCATGTCATTCTTTGCCTCTGTCTTTTTACTCCCTGCTTTTTGTAGGAGAGCCCACCTGGGTTTCTGACCAAATTTGTTATTGATAATAAAGAATGCATCTGCATATTATTAGCAAGTCAGATGTAATAAGATATAATGATCTCAGCACATGGGAACATATTTATTCTCCAGGTGTCCCTCCCCCTGGGTCTTTATTGAAGTCTGCTCATAATCAGAGTCATGAGATGCTTTTGAAGAGGCCAAAGCACAGGACAGTGCTATTCAGCATTGTCATTGGGCACCCGTGTGTGTTTGTGCTTTGGAGAGACCCCTGTTGGTTGCTGGGGGGGGTGAGCAGAAGAAGCCCCAGAGCTCCGCGAGTGGCAATCACAAAGGCACAGGCAGGTGGCTGAGCATCAGTCACCGCGAGCAGTGGGATCCCTCCGCTTTCCTTCCTCCTCCGTTGCTCAGAGCACCAGGGGAAAGGACTGGCAGAGGACTTGAAGAGTAGGGATGGAGACTTGCATGAGGCCACCTTCCTCTGCAGATAATAGGGCCCTGGCCATTTTCGCTCACCTGTAACACTTGTGTTAGTATTCCCCTTGCTGCTTTTCCTTAAAGCTCATATGATGGGCTGTCAGGAACAAGTCTTCTTACAGCAGT